GCATCCTGATCACCTCCATACACCATACCAGTGTCCTGATCACCTCCATACACCATACCAGTGCCCTTATCATCACCATACATTATACCAGCACCCTGATCACCACCATACCCCATACCAGCATCTTGATCACCGCCATATGCCATACCATCTCCCTGATCAGCGTCATACCAGCGTTATGATCACTGCCATACCCTATACTAGCATCCTGATTACCCCCATACCCCATAACAGCGTCCTGGCTACTTCCATAACACCGTCCTGATCACCGCCATACGTCATGCTAATGTCCTGATCACCACCATACCAGCGTTCTGATCACTACCATACCCCATACCGGTGTCCAGCATTTTAGGATCTCAACTGATCAATTTTCAGATATATATCCCATAGTTTGTAGACTCTAAAGCTTTCACACATTTCAAATGTATGAAAAAATGTAGCAGAATACATCATGGCCTAAATTTATGAAAAAAAATATCTATTTGCAAAACTTTACAACAAAAACTAAGCAAATTTTTTTTTTTTTTTTTAATTTTCGGTTTTTTTTCTGTCAGGGAAGTTAGTTCTAACCAATACCATTAGGATTGGGTACCCTGAGTAGTATGCTCCCCCCCCAGGTTGGGGAAAGGTGCTCCTATCCTCCAAGGCACAGAAGTGGGATCTCTTAGGGGAAGCTGCGGGCGGTGGTGACTGATCTTAGAACAAACAGTGAGTTTTGATGGCTCAGGCTGTCAGGTCTCCACTAAGGATTTCCACTTTTGTCGTTCGCTTTCCCCACAGGTTCGCTCTCAGCAAGTTACCGCGTTCTACACACATCAAGTGTTAAAAAGAAATAACAGAGGCTAATGTATTAAAATACGGGAAATGCTTGTATCAAACGTGGCAGGTGCTAAACAGAATTCAATTCTAATCACATTAAGACAGAAGAGCAATTTACTCACAGAATTTATAGTGAAGGTCTAAATGAAGCTGCAGATTGCTTTAAATTAGTATCTGTAGCGGAAATACAAAACTACCAGGCATTGCTTGGCAATTGCATTGGCAAAGAAAGAGGAAATATCAATCACTTGAAGTTTATAATAAGAAGAATCATCACAGCCGTTATTCTTCCCAAGCCACCTAGGGCAGTGCTAAGGAGCACCCCCACCTCCATTGCCTGCCATGCCGGGAAACCTGGGAACATTGCCAGTGAGTCTGAGACTATGTGGGGGGGGGGGGGGGAAGGAGACCTATGGTGGTGGTGTGGAAAGGCAAGGCCTGACTTTGAGTGGATTGGATTTAGCAAGTGATTTAAGGGGGAGGGGCTAAAGTATTCCAATACAATAGCGCATAATGGAGAATTGAGGAAGTGGCCACAATATAGGTAAAGTCTATGCAAAAATTTAAGTGGTTGTAAACCCTTACATAAACCCAGTGAGGTGACTAACCTCAGGTGGCATACAGAGATTAAACAAATCCTCCTACATAAATTTTACCTGTTTATCTCCAGTCCTCTTTCCTATTCTATTCAGCTGTTCAAAGTGCAGAATTTATAGAGCTCGTCTGAGCATTCAGAAAGCAGAAGGCAGGGAGCTGAAGTTACACTCTTCAAAGCTCTGTGAGAAGAGCTCTGAGACTTGACACTGGAGGCAAGGGACACCCACCCGCCCCCCTTTACACAGCAATAAGGAACAGAACTGAGGTTTTCAATTACAGGCTGTGTGCTGGAGCTCCCTCTCCGTCACCTTTTTTCTCTTGGTGTCAGGAAATCTTGTCAGAAATGATTTGTGCAGATAACAAAGGAAGGAGGCAAAAGATGACACCTGACCATCAACAGTCTAGTCACTCTGCAAAACAGCTAAACCAGGTACACAACTTAAATGTGGGTCCCTGAGGTTCCTGACCCTTTCCTATGTGCTAAATTACAAATAGAGTTAAAATAAGGGTTCTAAGGATTAGGATACAGAGTATTTGGTGGAGGGTGTTGTGGATTGGGGTAGGAAGAAATTGTCAAAGGGAGCGGAGGATTGGGGTAGGGAATGATTAGTGGAAGATTGGCTTGGAAGATTGGGTATAAGGAGTAAATGGAAGAGGATGGGTAGGATCGGGATAAAGTGTAAATGCTGGAGGATGTGAAGAATTTATGTAAAGAGCTAATGGTGGAGGGTTTGGAGGATTGGGGTAAGGTGGGTATAGAGAACTGGGGTAATGAGTGGATGGAAGAAGTTGTGGAGGATTGGGATAAGGTGTGAATGGAGGAAAGTGTGGGGAATTAGAGTTAGGAGTGAATTGTGGAGTTTTGAGGTAAGGAGTCATAGAAGAGAGTGTGGAGGATTAGAATAAGGAGTGGATAGCAGAAGACGTGGATGATGGAAGGCAAAAGGAGTGAAACTGGGGAGGGTGTGGAGGATTGGGATAAGGATTGCACTGGAAAGAGTGTGTAAAATTAGGGTATGATGTAAATGGCGGAGGATTGGGATAAGGAGTGAATGGTGAAGGGTGTCTAGAATAGGGATAAGGAATGATTGGTGCAGGGTGTAAAGGATTGGTGTAAAGTCTGAATGATGGGTAATGATGAGTAAGTAGCGAATGATGGAGGGTGTGGGGGAAAGAGGTAACAAATGAATGTTGGAGGGTGTGGAAGACTGGAATAAGAATAGAATGGAAGACGTTTGGTTGAGGAGATGGTGGAGGATTGGAGTAAGGAGTCAATAGTGTACAGGATTAGGGATAAGAGTGGGTGATGAATGGCATAGGGTGTGGAAAATTTGGGTAAGGAGTGAATGGTGGAGGCTTTGGAAGATTGGGGTAAGGAGTGAACAGTGGAGGGTGTGGAGGATTGGAGTAAGAGTTGAATGGAAGAGGGTGTAGAGGTTTGAGTGAGGAGGTGGTGGAGGATTGGAGTAAGGAATCAAGGATGTATAGCAGGGGTCTCCAAACTTTCTAAACAAAGGGCCAGTTTGCTGTCCTTCAGACTCGGAGGGGGCCGGACTGTGGCCAATGAAAATAGAAAATGCCCTGGGAGTAAACAATCCCTCATCATTGGTATTCATAAGAGGAATATTGCACCATTGTTGGTATGATGGAATAGTGCCCCATAATTGGTATCAGTGGGAAGAAGAGTGCCCTGCCATCGGTGTCAGTGGAAGGAATTATGCCCTGTTGTCGGTGTCAGTGGGAGAAATAGTGCTTTGTATTGATGGGAGAAATAGTATGCCAAGGGCTGGATAAAGGCAAACAAAGGGCCATATCCGGCCCCCGGGCCACAGTTTGAAGACCATTGATGTATAGGAGTGGGTGATGAATAGTATAGACTATAGAGGACTGAGGTAAGGAGTAGATGGCAGAGGGTGTGGAAGATTTGCGTAAGGAGTGAATGGTGGAGACTGTGGAAGATTGGGGTAAGGAGTGGACAGCAGAGGATGTGGAGGATTGGAGTAAGAGGTGAATGGACGAGGGTGTGGAGGTTTAGGGCGAGGAAATGGTGGATGATTGGACTAGGGAGTTGATGATGAAGGATGTGTAGGATTGGGGATAACAGTGAATGATGGATGGTGTAGAATGTAGAGGACTGGGGAATAGGTGGCAGAGACTGTGGAAGATTTTAGTAAAGAGTGAATAGCAGGAATGTTTATACTGCATTAACTATAGTGGCTGACTGACTTTTTCTGGTAGCCTCCTGTACAGTACAGGGCAATCCATTCGGGAAGATACAAATAGAGAATGCTGCAGATAGAGCAGAAACACCCAGCAACAACTCAACAATGAATTGTCAATTAGGACTAGAAGAGGAGAATGCTGACGAGTCGGCCATGAAACTGGCTCTGTTTTCTGAGCACACCACTCCGAGGAGATTTTCTACAATGCTTTCAGCAGAATCGGCTAACCTCAGCGTCTTGCTTTAATTACAAACAGGCTGTCTCATTAAGATTTTACATTTGAGGTGAAAACAGAAATTTTCTCCTTTTTTGAGGCTTTGTTTTCCATCCAGCTCTGCTCCCCGCCTGTGCAGTAGCCTCTTCTAGCGGGAGAGTGAATCTAGACTGCAAAGGGAACACGCTTCTGTCTAGTTATGTGAAAACTCTTGGAGCCTATTCAAGCGTGTGGCTGTCATAAGCTCTGTACAAGTTCAGAGAGTTCGATACAGATCCGGCGCGGAGCACCCCAAGGGAGACGTGTTTTACTCATCACAGACAGTCATGAAGAAGGCTCCAATCCTGCCTGATGTTGAATCCTTTCTAGAAAAGAATGCAGCCCTCCTTTAATGTTTTCAAGTAGGCCTATCATTTATAATCACACTTCACATGGAACATTAGGGCACAAGTCAGCATTACCAAGCCATGTATGTGCCTTATAGGAAACATTTTCCTCTAGATCCCGTGACAGAGACACAACAGGAAGTAAAAGAAAACCTCTCCAAAATAAAAAAACAATTCTCCTCTTGGACAATTGCAATTGGAATAAATTGGAAGTTTTCCTATCTATTCATCTTACCCTCTTAGCTGCCATTGAATTAAGTGTCCCCATTGGAAGATTTTCCATCTATTCATCTTCCAGTGGCCACTGCAAAATTTTCACTTTCAGTGGTCACCAGGTCAGAGAAAGCCTAGTACACACTATTAGAAATCATATGAAACTATTCAACTTTGAAACAATCATTCCATTTTCTGTTCGAGCTGATAACAAACTCATGCAGACTCCACCTCCGCAACATCGCCAAAATCCGCACGTTCCTAACCCCAGAAACCACTAAACAGCTCAGCCACTCCATCATCATATCACGACTCGATTACTGCAACTCCCTCCTCACCGGCCTGCCTCGCCGCTGGCTATCCCCGCTTCAGTTGATCCTGAACACGGCAGCCAGACTCATTCACCTCACCAACCGCTCCGTTTCCGCCACCCCCCTCTGCCAATCCCTCCACTGGCTTCCGGTGGCACAACGGATCAAATTCAAAATCCTAACATTGACATACAAAGTTGTCCATCATACTGCCAGATCATAGTCAATGGCTTACCTGGTGGACTCTTTGGACAGAATGCCAACATAGGAGGTGACAAAGTTTTGAAATTTCCTGTGCTGCTCTTCCCACCGGTCTTCCACAGAATAGTAATTGGGCAGAGGAGCACCAAATAAAATCTCACTCCTCAATAGAGAACTTTTCAGGTTTTCTGTTGTGAGATTCTCATCCACGTACCAGTAAAACTCCGGGTGAGTCATGGCCAGCTTCAGAGATCCTGTAAAAGTACAATCGTTATTCTGGAGGCAAGTTACACAAGACATTTGTTATACCCCAAATCCTCCAAAATGTATGTCTCAGTGATGTGTGCTTGCCAGCAAGTTGTTCGGCCAATTCTATTCTCCAGGACTTCAGCAGTGAGACGTTTGCACCAACATATGAAGACCTGTCCAACTGCCATGGCCAATACATAGGGTTTCACCCTACCATGATAGACTCTCTATATCAGCCATTCTCAACCAGTATTTCTCTAAAGGTTTCCAGGGATTCCTTGAGCTGTGGCTAAATGACTTTCTATTTGATGGTCCCTGCATAATTCTGGAACCAGGGCCACTTGTCAGAGTCAGTTGCATGATACCAATTATCTTTAGAGCTCTCTGTAAGGGTGGCATTTTGACAACCACTGTAAGATGGGGAATTTGTTCCAGTCACCACCAATGTAGGGGGGGGCAGTCTTCCCATTGACCACCAATTAGTTGGTTTTAGAAGAAGTTCCCTGAGATCTGAGTTTAAGGTTTCCTCTTGGGGCAAAGGTTGAGAAAGGCTGTTCTATATTGTAGACCTAGCAGAAAATTAAAAATACAATTGGTAACAGTGCACCTTGCTTGTGTCCTTGGGGTAGAGACACAGGACAAGCTCTTTTCCTGGAATTACTTTTTCACTTTTTCCTCTCTATCCCATTTTCTCTCTTTAGCTCCTTTTCTCTTTCTTTGCAGAACACCAGTGCTAGATTCTGCTACTGTCTAACAGACTAAAGGCAAAACTTTTTTTTTCTTTTTTTCTTTTAGATTTGCCATTTTTTCTAATTGGCCTGATCACCAATACCACAAGTAATGAAATAAAGGGTAGATTCTAAATTTTGAGTTGCCAATGGAATAGCAATAAAGGGAAAATCTTCCAATGGGGATATCTGTTCCCAAGCCAACTGTCTAAATCTGAGCCCACATGTTACAATCTAATTGTATCTCCTTTAGATCTACCAAATACCAACAAGTATGTAGAGCAAGGGCCTGCTCGGTTGGATACACAATATTTGGATAGTTTAGGAAGCAAGGGCGGACTGACAACTCAATAGGGGATCATGGGGCCCCTGTGTCCTTGCCCACACTCAAAGCACACCCAAAAAAGCCTATAAAAGGTACCAGGGGCATTTCATGGGGCCCCCTACTAACCCTGGGCCCTCAGGCAGTGCCCGAGTGCTCGAATGGTCAGTCGGCCCCTGCTAGGAAGGTTCTTTTATTACATAGTTTTGGTAGATCTAAAGTTGATTTACAAAGAGTGTAGCTTGTGGTAGATTTCCCTCAAATTTGAAAGATATCTCCTCACTTCTTGCTGAGCCTACAGGATAGAAAATGAAGGGAAATTTCCTTTGGGAAGGGGAAAAAGGAATCACATTTACCACATAGTCAGCTTCCACACTGCAGAGTAAGAGATCACAATCCTTATAGCAAGATCCTGGGAACACTGAGAAACCCAAATCTCGTGAGAAGACACTGCAGCACAGTGAAGTAGGGCTTTCTCTCAGGATGTGGGATCTTCAACATTCCTAGGAGCTCTCTGGAAGGAACACCCAACACAGGAGCAGTTCAGGGATACTTGTGCATGGTTTAAAGGAATATACAAAGTTGTGTAACATTTTAAAGTAACCTGCAGTGGGTCTGATAACCAGGTTACAGACAGGTTTGTAGAGTTAAGATGTTGTGTTCCACAAAAGCCATTGAACTCAGAGCACCTGAAGTTACCAGTGGTCATATGAGTTTTTATAGCATGGGCCGGAGATCTGATTTTCTTCTGCTGCAGTTGGGTATTGCTCACAGGTCTTGTCCCTTCCTCAAAATAGGACTGTAATATTTGAGTATAAAAATCTAAGTGCTACACAAAGTGTTATTGTCCAAAATAAGGTTTTACCCCAGATATATAATAGACGCTATAGCCAACACGTTCTGGGACCACACATCATCCTCACATCTACACTTAAAATACACTGTATCCACTGGTATGGACTTGCTATATTGCAAGTATTCCACAGTGTTCAGCAGCTAATGGAAACCTGGTGGTCCCTGAAATACATTGACTGTAGCACCTATTATAAACTTGGAATAACACCTCATTGTGAACTCTAACACTTAGGTGTGCCTCTTCAATTTTCAGATTCAAATATTGCTTCTATATTCCAAGGTTGCTGTGCTAGTGCCTCTGTTAAGGAGAGAAGCCCACTTATCACCTAGACATGCCACTGGGATACCACAAATATGTTTTTGTCAAGTATATCAATAGCACCAATCTACTGTATATCTACCTAAGGTTCAATCTACCACTTCAACCCATGACTGGACAATGAAAAGAAAACCAGCACATTGATGAATTCACCTCTCTGTCTCTTTGCTGAAACACAATTAAGCACAATGCTGCATTATTGGTGTCTTTGATATATGTCTGGAGTTCGGCTTTAATTCTTCAAAGTGTCAAAGAACTAACACAAATCTTTTGCAGCTGCCATCTGCTTGGAGCTATAAGGATACGTGCCTAACAAACGTTCTGTTAGAACAAGAATACTTTGTTGTTTCATATGATGCAGTTCATTCATTATTTGATAGTTGATAACATGGGTTGAATGCAACCACTTCCCTCTATCACCTCCACCCTTATATACAGTCTTATGCAAATGTTTTGGGCACCTGAGACCAGTTAAAGTGGAACTCATAATAAAAAATGACATATAAAATGCAGTCTGTCAGTAGAATTAACTAAGCTGTTCATGTTTGAGTCCCTGTCAGGGCCAGGATCTGAACCCACAACCATTCAGAAGTAGCTTTCCTTGATAAGCCACCTGAGATACTGGACAACTTGGATAATCTTGCCTTGACCTTGTTTCTAGAGAACCTTGAACTCCTTGCTCCTCCCATGAACTTCTGATTTAAGTCATGTGTTTGCACTTCTTGTTTGCCCAATTATTGTGCTCTCTCAAACCGATATCTTGCTCCTTTGCATATCTGCAGCTGTCCTTGTCTCCTCTAACACTCAACCTTTGGCTTGTTCCTCAACTACAGTTTTGCTTTATCCCAACTTGCTACCACTTGTTACCGACCTTTAGCTTGTTTACCAACTACTCTTCTATATGACCCCTACCTGCTATATCTGCTACTGGACCCCAGCTTGTTTACCTCCTGTTGGGGCAATCCTGAGTACCGTAAACTGGTACTAACACACAGCAAAACCCATCTCCACCTCAACAGCTCTGGTGAATACCAGTTAGTACGGTTAGCGTCATGGGTGAATCCGCATCATCCTCCAGGGTGCCCTGCTTATGTACTTATTCAGCTGGTCAGTGGGATTCTCTTTACTGCTATAACTTCTGGTCTCCAAACCTTACCCCTGAAACTGTGACAATTATCCTGTAAAAAGGTGACCGGACATCCCTGGGTCCTGGAAAACAATGTCCCTGTTTTCTTCCCCTTTTAAAAGAATGTGTCCCCCAATTTCCTTCCAGCTTTAATAATGGCACCCCCAACTGGGCGGCTGAAGTGTAATCCATCTTAGCAACATTTCTGTGATTGGCCTGGAGCAGGAGGAGGGAGAGGAGGGGTGTGTCTGCTCCTGGGTGTTACTGATAATATTACATTTCAATATTACATGGTCTTCGCAGGTAAATTAGCTTGTGCAAACTTTGTTCCTGGAGGTAAGGATATTGATTATTTGCTTCCTTGCCCTTGCATTTGATGGCAACCTGCACTTCATACCACGGTCTGCACTCATGACCCAGAACAAATTAGGTCCACCCCTGCCCACCTGTTGTCACCCTGTGGACAGGGTAGTCTTTAACTGGCCATACACTAGTAGAAATTGATTCAAAATTTTTGGATGTAGAAACATTTGCTCAAATTTCTAATCTTTACAGGGGTCAAATTGACGCTCATTTTCAACCTCAGTTACAAGAAAATTCTAAGGAGCAGGATGGAAAATTTTTCTTGAATGAACAAATTTCTAACAGTGAATGTGGTTTTCCTTTGGGAAAGTCCATTCATTCCAAAACTGAATGTTAAAAGCAAATGAAATTCTGAAGTACAAGCAGTCTCCAGAATATGAACAAGATAGGTTCTGTAGGTTTGTAAGTTGAATTTATATGTAATTTGAAACAGGTACATTTTTTTTAAGTGTAACTCCAGCCAAAAAAAAAAAGTGTAAGTTTTGGATAGCATAGGGAAGTTTTAACACCCCTGTAATGTTTGTTTTGCTGTCTGTGCCCCTGTTCAGAAGATTTCACCTCACATTCTGTCCCTGTGATAATTGGATCTCAGGGACAGGAAGCTAGATTAAATCTTTCTAATGAGGCTACAGACAGCAGTAAAAAAGTGGCTCTAACCCTACACCATACTAGCCAAAACAAAAAAATAAATAAAATTTGCATGGAGTTTACTTTAAATGCAACTTGGGCAGATGTTTGTCTTAACAATCGATTTATTTTGACCTTTGCATGTATATGCTTAAACATTTTCAAATACTGTACAGTACAACCTTAAACAATCTTGGTGGAGGATGATGGACTTGCTGAAGACGATAGGACTGGTATTACAGAGTCCGATATAAAGCTCATCAGCAGGATATGCCTACTTGTTGTGCATCCTCAGCCTGCAGCAGCAGCATTGGCCCCCTATCCTCAGAGCCATCCAGCAGCGTAAGATCCAGTAGCCAGCAAGATGGCCGCCCAGAAGTTTCCAGAACCACCATGGAGTGTAAGCAGCCAGAAGTGACGTCACTCTGCCTCTGTTTGTAATTAAGAGTCGGATGTATGTAACTCAGGTACTGCCTGTACTTTCAAGCAGGGGCGGACTGACAACTCATGGGGCCCCCGGGCAATAGGGGATCATGGGGCCCCTGTGTCCTTGCCCAAACTCAAAAAAGCCTATGAAAAAGGTACCAGGGGCATCTCATGGGGCCCCCTACTGACCCCGGGCCCTCGGGCAGTGCCCGAGTTTCCAAATGGTCAGTCCACCCCTGCTTTCAAGCGACATTCATCAAGTCATAAAATGTACTGATAATTTTCTTACAAATGTTCGTATGAACGTTCGCTAGGAAATCGACTTGTGTACAGCTAGCTATAGATGGACATGTAGATTTAAACAGACTTAACCACTTCCAGTCTGGACACTTTCACCCCCTTCTAGTCCAGGCCAGTTTTCAGCTTTCAGTGCTATCACACTTTGAATCACAATTGCACGGTTATGCAACACGGTACCCATATGAATTTTTTTTGAGACAAATAAAACTTTATTTTGGTGGTATTTATTCACAACTGGGATTTTTTTTTTTTGCTATATAAATGAAAAAGTCAAAAAAATGTGGCAAAAAAAGTATTTTTCTTGTAAAATTTTGCAAATAATCTGTCTTCATAAATCTTGGCCAAAATGTATTTATCTATCTTTTTAGTTAAAAAAAAAAAACCCAAGTTATTTCATAACCAAAAATTATAATTTTTCTAATTTTTTTTTTACATTTGTATTTTTTTTTCATATTATTATTTATGGGGGGGGGGGGGGGTTAACATACTGTCACCCTAGCAGTACAGTGTCACCATAGTGAAGATTTTGTTTTCTTTTTTTTTTACACTGATTGCTTTTACATAAAGGTTGTAAAAGCAATCTCTCCTAGATTGTAAACTCAAAAAAGCAGGGCCCTCGAACCCCTCGTGTATTCTTTTGTTACTGTATTGTCTCATGTTCTGTCCTCCACCATATTGTGGATACAAATGGAGAAACAGAAAAAGGGCGCACCGACCTAGTGCATTATCGTTTAAAATAATTTATTAAAGAAACAAAAATAGGTATCATACTCACAATGGACATAATAACACAGGCATGTCAAACTGAACAAGGTGTATGATCTGAGCTCTGAGGAAGAGGTTGTGTCCTCGAAACGCGTTAGCCAGTTGGTCATCCAGGGTTCCATCGTATGGACTCAGATGTTGTTTGGATCATACACCTTGTTCAGTTTGACATGCCTGTGTTATTATGTCCATTGTGAGTATGATACCTATTTTTGTTTCTTTAATAAATTATTTTAAACGATAATGCACTAGGTCGGTGCGCCCTTTTTCTGTTTCTCCATTTGTATCCAGTGTATTCGGACCACCCCGGTCTGTTGAGGGCAGCAAGCAGTGCATATTCCAGAAAATTCCAGAACATTCCTATTGGGTCTACTGAGTCCTTTCCTAGCGCAGGAGTAAAGTGTTTGTTGTGTTGGATTCCCCACTATATTGTACAGCGCTGAGCAAACCTTTTGGCGCTATATAAATACTGTATCATAATAATAATAATAATTTCTCCTTCTTTCTGGCTGCATTCCTGCATCCATTTAGAAATACTGTGAGAGCTGTGATTTGTCACAGCTTGTCACATGGTACAAGGCTGTTGTGAATAACCTTGTACCATGTGACCTCTGTGATCATTCACAGATTTCACACGTAGTAAGCAATGATGTCAGAAGTGACATCTTGCTTACTACTATTCATGTGATCACTGATTGGCCAATCAGTGATCACATGATCGGGACCTCGCACAGAGGTCCCATACAGCGATCTGTGTTCCGCTGTGTCTGGAGGACACAGAGGGCACTGATCGCGGTGCCGTGTGCTCCCAGGGAGTGCGCACAGGCATAGATGTGGGGGGACATTTAGAAACGTCCACCCACATGGGCAGCGCTCCCATCCGGCTGTTTATCTACATGGGACGGACGGGAAGTGGTTACAATAAAGCTGGCCATACACTAGTAGATATTTGAACAAAGATACATATGAATATTCATATGAAAATTCTGGATATAATTGATGACTTGATGAATGTCGTTCAAAAGGACTTCAAAATTTAGTTTACTCATTATCATTCAATTTTGAAATGTTTTTAATTTCCTGAATGAAAACCACATTCACAGTAAGGAATTAGTTCGTCCAAGAAAAGTATTCCATCCTGCTCCTTTGAATTTTCTCATCACTGCTGTTGAAAATGAACATTGATTTGACCCCACTAATTATTCGAAAATCGAACCAACATTCTTATAAAAAAAATTTTTTAAGAAAATTCTACAGATGTATTGACAGCTTTAGAAACAAAATAAAGTTATGCTCCTACTAACATGTTTTAGGCCCTAGTTACACTTTCAGTTGGAGGGCTTTAAAAAAAGTACATTTTAGGATTATACCCCCTTATGCATTCAGTGGACAGTACTGCCACCAAATGCGACTCATTTACGTGAATTGGACTGCGCCACCATGTAGCGAGTGGCTACAATGCGGTGGTGCAGCGTTTACAGGCTTAAGCCAGGAAGTGAGGAGGCAACATATCACCTCCTCACCAACTGTCAATTGTCTCTGAAAGGCGATCCACTTCTAAAGTTTTCAGAGTTTTGGCACAGTCTGCCCCATCTACACTTAACCCTACACAGGGGCGTATATACCACAAGGCAAACAAGGCATTTGCCTTGGGCGGCATTTTTCAGGGGGGGCAGCAGCATTTTTCAGGGGGACAGTACTGCCCCCCCCCCGAAAGAAGGGATGGAAGAAGAAACACACGCAGCATGGGGACCAAGTTGGATCTGAAGGAGGCTTCGGGCTTCTTGGTGATGTATGTAGAGCCTGACTCTTGTTCCTGTCCGGAGCTGTGAAGGTGAGTGTCTATCTCTCGCCGGGGTGGGGTTGCCATTGTATGGGGGGAGGGGGCGGTAGTAATGGAAGGCTCACTTGGGTGGGGGGGGGGGTCTGGGGTGTTGTTGGTCAATGTCAGGCTCTCTTCATCTTCATGGGGGAGGGGGTGTTGGTCGGTGTCAGGGTCTCTCCGTGGTGGTGGTGGTGGTAACCGATTTTTTGTGTTGCCTAGGGCAGCACGAAACCTAAATACACCACTGACCCTACAGCTGTGTTTCTCAACCTTTTTTCAGTCTTGAGGCACCCCATAATAAAATGTGAAAAACTATTCTAATAGTTTTATATAAAGCAGCAACATCCACACATGTAGGACACCCAACATTGGAGGTGATTTATTCTTCCAAAGCAAATACACTTTTGCACACTGGTACTGACTAGTATGCCAATGTTTCTCTTCTCCCTCAGTTTTGTCTCCATCACTGAGCTAATGTGACCCCCAGCACTGATGTAGAGGGGCAGGGGAGGGTCAAACTAGGATGCTGTGCAGGCAGCTGATATCCTCAACTGATGATGCCATTGGTTGTCAGGACGCACGGCGGCTAGAAAGTCGTAATGTGCACAATGAACACCTGTGGCTTTGTGTAACTAAAAGGCAGGCTTGTTCCACCCTCTGGCTTATATACAACTTTTGGCCAATTTTTAGACATTTTGCCAAGGCACCTCAAGGCACACCAGAGCGCCTGGGCACCCTGATTGAGAAAGGTTGCCCTACAGCAACAGATTTTTTTTTGTGTGTTATTTAGATTAAAGAGTAGTTTCAGCAAGGGTTTCAAAAATTAAAAGTCAGCCGCTACAAGAAAATCTTTCTCAGATCCGAGCACCAGTCTTTTGATTTTAACTTTCAACAAGACTTCTAGTTTTATAAAATTATACTTCTTCAGCTTTTCAACTTTCAAAAGTCTTTTCATATATAAAAAAATAAATTTCTGCAGCTTTTTTAGCCTTAACAAGTTGTTTCTTTTTAGAACAGATGTTTCTGCAGCTTTTCAAATTTCATAAGTCTTTATATTTTTTAACATTTCTACAGCTTTTCAACCTTTTAGTTTTCAACTTTCAACATTTCTGCAGCTTTTCAACTTTCATTAAGCTTTTACGTAGATAAGAAAAATTATTGCAGCTGTTCAACTTTTTTGAATTAGAAAATGGAAATCTGTAGACTTACCGTGCACGTCAGCCAGGTCCTGGCCCATACCATCATAGTAGATCTTGCCGCCTTTCTCTGTGGGAAAGAAGTAGGTCAGGAGGGAACTAGGAGGTGAACAGTAAGAATAAGATCCCAATGGAAGGTCCTTTAAGACCTCATGAGGTTTCCAACAAAATTCCCGGAAGTGGGGGTGGTCCATGATTTTCCTCTCAATCCTATGGATGGTCATCAAACGTTCTTTAGTAAAGATATTATTCTCCTCATCCCCTCTGGCCAAGAAGATAAGTTCAATCCGCCAGTGAGCATGGCTCTGTGTGTTGGGAGTCACGTAAACACCTGAATATTCCTTAACAGATGCTCCGCGTGGGTGGCGAGACTGATTCACCGCCAGAGCCAAGGGTGCCGAAGGAGCGGGGATTGAGCCATTAGTTCTCAAAGTGTTATTGCACCATGGGGAGTTACGTTTGACTCTTACGGGACTGTCCTGCTGGGAGGTATTCAGGTGGAGTTGCTGTAGCTGCTCAAAGATCAATCGCTGCAACGTTTCGGATGTAAAGTCTGCAACGTCCCTGCGGTTCCTCCCCCATGTGCCAAACTGAGATTTCAAGGCAAGGGTCAACGCGTCGAACCGCTGGGAGGACTGATGATTGCGGATCTCGAATGCATTGTAAGAGATGTCAATGTCAAGAGTTGGGTAATGTACAAACATGATGACGGAGAGGACGACAGGGACCAAACAGCCCAAAGCCAGTAGAAAAGCGGCACAGTAAACATTTGTAAACACCCACCCCACTATATTCCAGAACTCGCATGGTGGCATGGCGTCTTTTAAAGGCTTAGAAGTCCACTGGCAGTTCTTGCATATAGGTGATCTAAAGGCCACCTCGTCATCTTCGTCATCAAGCCACGCGTCCTGTAACAGGGGGTCATCTGTGTCCATGTTACCTGCAAACCACAGTGCCGTGGAAAGGAAAAATACATTAGAAAGGGTCAAAAAGAACTGGAGACACATGGAGGCCACCTGGGCTTTTTTTTTCAGAGAATAGGTGCAGGTACTCCCTCCTTCCTAGTCAACCCTTGTCTCCACTCCCTACCCGACTCCAAGCATTATCTCTTGGTTCCACCCCTTGTCCCTATCCCCCTAAGTACTGAACCAAGCATCAATTGTGATACTAAGAAAGTTGTATGGAATTTGTTATAGTGATCCTAAAGTCTTGTTTTGTTTTATTTTTTTTTTGTAAATAAGAAACTTGTTATACTTTTTGCACAGAGCAGTCCAGATCCTCCTCTTTTTGGCTCCCCCGCCAGCGCCCCTGGCCCCTCCCTCCTGTCAGTTGTCCCCATAGCAAGCAGCTATGCAGTATTCCAGCACGCTCCTGAGCCGTAGCTCTGTCTGTCCATTGACACACAGAGCAGTGGATCAGTCCCACCCTTTCCTCTCCTGATTGGCTCACTGGCTGTGATTGACAGCAGTGGGAGCCAATAGCTGCCTCCGTCAATCAGGAATAATAGCTGCCAGAGAACCAAGGCTCTCAAGGACATCGCTGGATCGGGGTGGGGCTCAAGTAAGTGTTAGGGGGGCTGCTACACACAGGAGATTTTTTACCCATTCAGCAACAATCGTTCCACCCCAGCAGTTAGAGACCCCCACCAGTGTCAGCAGTAATTGACTCCCTGGCATTCTACTAACCCACCAGCAACAATAGATCCTCCACCAGCAACAGCAGACCTCCCCACCAACAATAGAACCTTTAGCAGCTAGCATCAGTAGTCCCTCCAGCACAAACCAGCACACCTTGCCTTGCCCTTGCCACCCCAGCACCCCTTGCCATACATTCAGCACTGGAGGTGCCGGAACTCTGTTCCCCCATGTTCCCCATGAAAAAAAAAATCCCTGGAAGCCAATACTGACATCTCCTTTTGAAAAAGCTAGTTTCTTGGGTGACATGGTTTTTCAGAATTGTCAGTACTTTTTGGGTTACTGACCCCATATAAGTATACAGATCAGGTTTTCTCCCTTCACCAGCAGCAGACTTATTTAGGTTCAAGCACTGAAGTCAGAAAAGGTCAGTTTACTGGAAGGAGGGATCAGCAAACACAGCCTAGGTGTTTTTCTTGCAATTAAAGCATTCTCTCAGGACTGGTTTCCTCTTTTCTGTTGAAAACTGAAGAACTTATATGGCAATTATACGGCGACTTCCTAGGTAATGACCACTTTTTGTACTCCACGTTCCTACATTCAGATACATTTTGTTGAAGGGTATTTCAAGTCAAAAAACTTTTGTTTTGGATAGAGTAGGGAAGGTTTTTATTGCTGTGTCCCTGCTGGGGAGAGTCATCCTTTCTATTTGTCCTGATGACCATTGTCACCCAGACAAATAGTGAAGGAAAATTTTATAAATGGAAACATGGGAATAGGGGGTGTAGAAAATGAGTCTTTTGAACATGTCGTTTATTTCCAAAAGTTTTCGGAATATGTGGGAAGAAAATGAAAACTTATTGTTTTTTACACAAAGTTGTCCATTTACCAGATATTTCTAACACATAGCACATAAATACTGTAGTGGATTGTGATAGACAGTCCACGTTCTATTAGATGATCAGTAAAATGACAATTTTATAGTCTTGCTACTTTCTGCTTCTTTCTCTTTAAATTCCTTACTCTCTTAAGTAAACAATCAGATATAAGTTGACAGAACAATGATGATAATTAAGATGGCGCCTTCATCAGGAGATTTACCCTAGGTGACTCATTAGGAGAAAAGTATCTTTTAATGTAAACAACCCCCATAAAAGGGAATGAGTCTTTTTGGGGACAATGATTGGAAGATATCAACACGGATGGAAGAACATGCAGAAACCCAGTGGGCTTTTCACCCAATCAATGTATATGCTTTGCCTGCATCATAAGCCCTATAAATGATACTGTTAGTTCCTCAATAAAACAGAATTTTAGGAAGTTGGCAAACTGCAACAGTGTCAGTGTCTTGCTTCCACGTGCACGTAATTCTATATTAATTTGGCTCACTGGTAGATCACGGTAAATGGTCTGTAGGTGATCTAGTCCAAAACATTTTGGCGCCCAACGTGGGGCCCGGGTTCTGAACACCGGACCAGCCGACCGAGAGTGGATGAGGGGGACCGTGGAGCATTCCAGACTTGGAGACTGATCACCTCCTAAAGCGATAAGTGAATTTTTATGTTTAATAATTCCTTACCTGCGTAGTCTGGAATTGCCCAGCGGGGCTACTCACCTGTCTGGCTGTCTGTTGGTCAGCAAAGGACAGGTATACTTGCCCGGGGCTCCTTTGAACCCACCTGTCTGTGTAACGTCATCTACCAGTGTGATATGTCTTGTCTTTTGTGTTGTCTGTGTGTACCAGCGTGATTGGTTGTTGAAAAAAAACCCTCAAAATATTTTCTGCTACCTCTCTTGAGTATGCCAATACCAAATGTGTGAGACTTTTCCACAGCCTGGCCATATACAGAGGCCCAACATCCAAGTAGCACCTTTAGGCATTCTAGAGGCAAAAATTACACATCTAATTTCCTGACGTATCACACTTTTGAAGGCAGAGGAAAACACCCACAAAATTACCCAATTTTGGAAAGAAAACACTCCAACGTATTTTTTATGGGGCATAATGAGTCTTTTGAACATCTCGTTTTTTTTTCACAAGTTTTCAGAAAATGTGGAAAAAAAAAAAAATGAAAAAAACGTAATTTTTTTACACAAAGTTGTTCGTTTTTTAAGATATTTCTAACACATAACATGTAAATACCACAAAATACACCCCAAAATACATTCTGCTACTCCTCCTGAGTATGGCAATACCACATGTGTAAGACTTTTCCACAGCCTGACAACATAGAGCGGCCCAACATGCAAGGAGCACTATCAGGTGTTCTAGGGACATAAATTGCACATCTAATATCTTGACAACCTATTACACTTTTGAAGGCCCTGAAGCACCAGGACAATGGAATTACCCACATAATGACCCCATTTTGAGAAGCAAACACTCCAACGTATATTCTATGAGGCATAATGAGTCTTTTGAACATGTCGTTTTTTTTCCACAAGTGTACGGAATATGTGGAAAGAAAATGAAAACGTATTTTTTTTCACACAAAATGCACTGATGGGTGCTGATTAGGGTGCACTGATGGGTGCTGATGAGGGTGCACTGATGGGTGCTGATGAGGCTGCACTTGTGGGTGCTGATGGGGGTGCACTTGTGGGTGCTGATGGGGGTGCACTGCTGGGTGCTGACAAGGGTGCGGTGATGGGGGGTGCACTGATGGGTGCTGATGTGAAGTGATGAGGCTGCACTAATGGGCACTGATGAGGTTGCACTGATGTGCAATAATGCACTGCACTGAGGCTGCACTGATAAACTGCCACTGATGTACACTAGTGATGGGTGATAATGAAGATCCACTGATAGGGTGGCACTGATGTGTATGAATAAGTGTCACTGATGTACACTGATAAGCTGCAGTAATTAGGTAGCACTGATAGTAACTGATGAGCACTGATGTGCACTGATAAGTTGCAGTGATGAGGCAGCACTGATAGGCACTAATAAGTTTCAGTGATGAAGTAGCACTGGTGGACACTGATGAGCCCTCACTAATGGGCACTGATGAGCTCTGATATGCACAGGTGGGCACTGATGGGCACTGATATGCACAGCTGGGCACTGATGAGCTCTGATGTACACAGATGGGCACTGATGAGCACTGATATGCACAGAAGGGCACTGATGAGCACTGAAATGCACAGATGGGCGCTGATAAGCACAGATGGGCACTGATAAGCACAGATGGGCACACACTGGTGGGCACTGATGAGCACAGATGGGCACTGACAGGCACAGATGAGAACAGATGGGCACTGACAGGCACCAATGGGCACAGACAGGCAATGACGGGCACCCATGAGCACTGATGGGCACTAATATGCACTCACTGGCGGGCAATGATGAGCACAGATGAGCACAGATGGGCACTCACTGGTGGGCACTGATGAGCACAGATGGGCACCGATGAGCACTGACAGCACTTATATGCACTCACTGGTGGTCACCGATGAGCACAGATGGACACTGACTGGCACAGATGGGCATTGACGGGCACCGATGAGCACTGACGGACACTTATATACACTGACTGGCGGGCAGTGATGAGCACAGATGGGCACAGATGACACAGATGGGCACTCACTGGTGGGCACTGATGAGCACAGATGGACAATGACGGGCACTGATGAGTACAGATGGGCACTGATGAGCACAGATAGGGCACTGATCAGCACAGATGGACACTGATGGGCACTGATGAGTACAGATAGGGCACTGATGAGCACAGATGGACACTGACGGGCACTGATGAGTACAGATGGGCACTGATGAGCACAGATAGGGCACTGATGAGCACAGATGGACAGTGACGGGCACTGATGAGTACAGATGGGCATTGCTGAGCACAGATAGGGCACTGATGAGCACAGATAGGGCACTGATGAGCACAGATGGACACTGACGGGCACTGATGAGTACAGATGGGCACTGATGAGCACAG